TTTTGAGTGAAATTGATCCAACTCACCAACTTGAGCGAGGAGGAGCCGCAGGCCTCTGGCCTTCTTGGACCTGGTACTTCCTCGGTTCTCTTTATCTTAAATCTCCACTTGGCTCAGTTAAAACCTTCTGCAGACAGCTCTCTCCATGGGGTAAAAAACTACCTACCAACTGCGTCTGGTAGATTCACCTGGTGATCTTTGCCAAAAGCACTTTCACCACGTAACAAATGGGTTGTAATGAAATACTGCTGTAAAAAAGAAATAAATAAGATCATGAAAAATAAAAAAGCAACATTAGGGCCTCCCTGGTGGCGCAAGGAGTTAAGCTTCATTACTATGAAGCTATCCACAGCCACTGCAGCACAAGTTCAATCCCTGGCCAGGGAGCACCCACACGGCACTGTCTCGCCCGCTGCTCCCCTCGGCAGTGTAGTTCATCAGATCTGCCTGTTCTGCTCCCCGCTCTGTCTCTGGTGAATCCTCTCACCCCTGGCACCTCTGGCCTGTACCCCAGTTCTTGTTTGCATAAATAAATCTTTTTTATTTAAAAAAAAAAAGCAACATTAATTGAAAGGACATAATGAAACACTCTTTTTTTCCTTTGCTAAAATATCTTCCTCTGTTAAGAGAGTAGCACTTTCCAAACAGAGGATGCCTATTTGTATGAGCTGTGTGGTTGTGAAAGCCCCCACACTATGGTTTGACAGCTGGGGAGCTGCCATTTCCCTCTGTCTATGTCAAGCATGTAACTGGTAGGGCATGTCTGGATCCCATTTAAATGTTTTATCACATGTCCAGTCCTTATATTTCATATCACCATATCACCTAAGCTAGATTCTGTGCCAAATACTAAATTCTGTCTGCATCATCATGTTTTCCACGATCCAACAGCAGATCATCACCGATTTCAAGAAATTTACACTCATCAGGAATCATATAACCATTTCTTTTTGGGGTGTGAGGATAGGAGGAGTTTGGTTGTTCTTTTGCCTGAAACTTTTAGTATCGCCTGATAAATTGGGTAAAGACCGCAGCAGAGAAGAGGATTGTATCTAGTTTAGCTAAGGAATTGATCAATAAACGCTCAGGCATTTGTAGAAACTGGCCACACCCTTTATATTTGTCACAGGTCGGTAAACTTTGAGTTTTGTTGGGTGAGAAGAATGATTTTGCTCCCAGAAAGATCTGCAAACTGATAATATTATTCTCCAGGAAGGTTTATCTCCATATTTTCTCTCAACTTGCTCTTCGTTATTTAAAAATGGCCATGTCTATTCATCACCATGTAGATCATAATGAAGGCTAAGATTTAGATAATCTAAAAAACGGGAGGACCTTCAGTTGAAACCCAACTGTCAGCCAGTTATTTAATCTTTTATGACAAAACTGCCATAAGGCAAAAATACCCATGGAAGTGCTTGCAGCAAGGATCCCTAGAACCACCACCGCTGGCCCTGGAGTCGTACCTTCCCTGTATAGCTGCTGCGGGAGGAGACAGAGCTCCCCCCAGCCCAGCCTCCAGGTCTGCATTCAGGGGAGGATTCCAAGTAGCTTGGCTAGGTCATGTCCACAGCCTGGCCCAGTCACCCCTGCAAGGAGATGACACTCCATGATGGGCAAGGCCTGGATGGTGAGTCCATCCGCAGGAGCAGAGGGCAGGTGCATGCATTTGCAGCTTCCAGAACTACCTGGAATGGGGCTGGGGCGCACACCAAGAAAAACACAGAAAAGAAGGCTTGAAAAATAAGTCTCATTTCCACGGGGCTCAGGGCTCGGTTTCAGTTCTTTTGAGGAGCTCCTCAAACTACAGATAAGTGCTTGTGTATATATAAATTCACAAGATTACACAATTTACATGTAAAATGGCGCCAGTTTTCTCACGAGGTTCATAAACCAACTCTGAAGCAATTCTAAAGGGATTGTGACAAAATTGTTTTTAGCATTAGCAATGTTACTAAAAAAACCCACAAAGACTCCCCGGGTGCCCACTCCAAAGGACAACTTACATTTGAATGGAGAAGTATTCTTTTTTATTTTTTTGAAAACCCAGATTAGGGATAAAATTATTTTTGCTAATAACCAAATCAATGCAAAATACATTGCCAAAATATCTGTGTGGCCCAATGTAAATGTTTTACTTTTAAATATAAGAATTTAGGGAAATGAGAATGGGCGTTAGATTTGGTTAAATACAGCTCAGGGTTTTTAAGTTGGGGCTTGTGGGACCCTAGCCTGATTACTGTCAATCCCAGGGCCCCCTGGGGAGTTTGTTAAAATGAGAGAGGACTGAGTTCCACCCCACACACTCTGGTCAGGCAGCTCTGGGTGGGGGCAGGTATCATTATTTTCTGAACACTTGGCAGGTGGGTTTGACCAGTCATCATGGCTGAAAAGCCACTGCCCTTGGACTGTGCTTGGGGTGGTGGGAGAATTCTTGGGGGCATCAGCTCTAGAGAGCCTGATAAAATGCAGATTCCTTGGCTGCCCAGGCCTCCTGGATCTGACTTGGTAAGGAGTAGAGCTGTCACTCTATAGTTTATCAAGCTCCTTAAGTGACTTAAAATTATTTTAAATTTGGGGATAATTACAGAGTCACAGAAAGTTGAAAAAAAAATGCAGAGTGGGCCTATGTACCTTCTAGTGTCCCCCAAGAGTAACCTTACCAAAACCAGAAAATTGGCATTGGTACAATATACAGTGCTTATTCAGAAATTATCAGACTTCCATGCACTTGTGTATATGTAGACCTTTATGCAATTTTATCACATGTGTAAATTTGTGTAACCATTGATGTAGTAAAGACATAGATTTGTCCCATCATCACAATGCTCTCAAGAATCTCCCCTTTATAGCTATACCAACCCATCACCAGCCCTATCCTGAACCCCCGTCAACTGCTAATCTGCTCTCCATCTCTATACTTGTGTTATTTTTAAAATGTTACATAAAAAGAATCCTATAATATGGAATCTATTGGGATTAGTTTTTTTTACTCACATAATTCTAGTGAGATTCATTCAAATCATTGCATATATCATAGTTCTTTTTTGGTTTATTGCTGCATAGTATTTCGTTGTGTGGACATACCACAGTTTGTTAAACCACCCACCTGTTGAAGCACATTTTAGTTGTTTCCGGTTTTTGCCTATTCTGAATAAAGGTATAATGAACATTTATGTTCATGTTTTTGTGTGAATGTAAGTTTCCATTCCTCTAGGATAAATGCTCAAGGGTACAGTTGCCGGGATATGCATTAGATATATGTTTAATTTTATAAGCAATTGCAAAACTATACTTCAAAGTGGCAGTGCCATTTTGCATTCACACCAGCAATGTAAGAATGACATAGTTTCTTTGCATGCTCATCAGCATTTGATATTATTTTAGCCATTTTGATAGATGTGTAGTGATATCTCATTGTGGTTTTAATTAAATTTCTCTAATGGCTAATGACATTGAAGACCTTTTCATGTGCTTACTTGTATATCCTCTTCACTGAAATATCTGTTTATGTCTTTTGCACACTTTTTAATTGGATTATTTTCCTATATTGTAGATAAAACACCTCTGTCTGATGTCTTGCTAATATTTTCTCCCAATCTATAGATTGTTTTTCATCTTCTTCTCAGGATCTTAAAAGAACAAATTAAATTTTTTGTGAAGACTAATTTATCAATTTTTATGAACTGTACTTTTGATGTCAAGTCTAAATGTTTTACTTACTCTTAGATCCCAAAGATTTTCTGCTACTTTTTCTAGAAGTTTTGTGTTTTACATTTAAGTCCATGATCCATTTTGAGTTAATAGAGGGCATGAGATTCATTATTTTTGCCAGAGTACGCCCAATTGCTACAGCACCAATAGTTGACAGGCTATCGTTGTTTCACTGAACTGTTTTTATATCTGTCAAAATCAGTTGAGGTATTTGTGTTCTCTATTCTTTTCTACTCATCTGTGTATCTGTCTTTCTGCCAATACAATACTGATTGCTGTAGCCAAATTTTGGACACTGGAGGATTGAGTCCTTCTACTTCATTCTTCTTTTTCAAAACTGGTTAAGTTGCTTCCTTTTTTATCTTCTGGGGATGGTGTCCAGAGGTATCAAGAATGGTCCCGTATAGCCTATATCGTAGGCTATCCTACAGCACAACCTCTAACAAAACTAGACCACCCCAAAACTCTGCTGATTGTTTACCTTTATACCAAAAAGGTTGGTATCCACATGTTGTGTGCACCTAGGCTGACTTCAAGGAGTTTGTACTGTGAGACCTAAAGTTCTTATGAGGCTGCCTCGAACAAAAAAGTAGGCCTTGAAGGCTGTGACTGGGTCTTGATCCTCTTGTGTCCCCGGTACTTTAATAAGTATAATGGACTAAAGGACTGCCTCCAGTCAGAGTTCACTAACAGCAGCTGACTTGTTGGTCCTTCCTCCATTTCTTCGTTAATGCCGTATCTGTTGAGTTCCTTCAGATACAGGTGTGGCAACCAGATGGCTCAGGCCTTCCCCCAACAGGTTTAATCATTCCTGAATTCTCTTAATTTACTTCAGACATTTTCCAAGAATCAATATGTAAAATTTTTGGCCTTCTCTTGTTAGAATGTCTCTCTCTCTCCATTTTTGGAGACCTCCACCTTTTTCCTTCTTGGTCTTACTACAAGATCTTATGAATCCCTTAATCTTGTGTTTACATTTAAAGATGAGTCTTTGCCACTAGGTTATGGATTTCTGGGGGTCAAGGACTGTATTCACCCTGGGATCGCCAGGGACTGGCACAAGCTGGGATTCCATAAATACTTATGGAATGAAACGTGATGTTGGACCTTCGCAGCTCAGCTGTGCTTTAGGTTTAGTACAAGTGTTTCATCATCGTCGCTACACTGGTGCTTTCTACTTATCTGTTATTCCTCCTGCTCGGCCTCTGTGAATTCCTTTCAGAAAAGAGAGTGGGAGGAGAAATACAGCACATTTTCAAGTAATTTTTTTTTTTCATTCCTCACAGGTACTATCTTGGTCGCCGGATGTATATTGTTATCTCTGAGCCAGACATGATCAAGCAGGTGTTGGTTGAGAACTTCAGTAACTTCACCAACAGAATGGTAAGTGGTTTTCTTTCTCCGTATGAATGGAGGGGCATTACTCTAAGAAGTAAGACCTGCACACCAGATTTAATAGGGACACGACTGGGCCTCTTCTCAGCTTAGATCAGCTCAAAACTGAAAACTGAGCTCCCCAATGAATTCAGGTTTTCAAAAGAGATGTGCAGGATGGTACAAAAGAACAACATTTACATTTAAGAAATGCTTCGAGAAAGCCAAAGCTCCGGAGAAGTTGTGGCTAATAAAAATGCTAAAACCAGGAGGGATCTCTAAAAGTCTGTTCAAAGCTGCAGGAAGCCAGGGGCACAGGTCAAGTGACTAGGGAAGACAGAACCAAGCGAATAAATATCAGAGAGAAAGCAAAATCTCAAGCCTCTAGTGCTTACTTCTCTCCCAGATAATATAAAGATCTTAAGGCTTGAAAAAGAAGACAAACACCACGCAGGGGGAAAAGTGTCCCCAAGTAAGAGGCAGCAGAGCCTGTAAAGAGGACCCCTTAATATCTGCTCAAGTCTCCAGCCCACTACGAGGATGTACACACTCCATCTTTTGGGGAAAGAACTTATTATCTTTGATGAGAAATCCTAAAGAATGAAAGTGGTGATAGAAAGTGGCAGAAGACGGCATCGTCCATGTATTTAAAACGAGAAGGCAGGGATTCTAGCAGAGAAGACGGATAACCTTTATGTTGACGCTTGGGAAGTGTCTAGGGGGAATTCCTAAATGCTTGCTTGGGAGAATTCAGAGAATCACTAGGTGCCAACCTTTATGTGGTGGTTGTCAAATTAAGCTCATCTTCCATCTTTACAGGACTAGTAAGTAACAGTTTCACTCTTTAGTTGATTATTTGGCAAACTTTTGCCCACCTGCCACAGGTCAGGCGGCTGATTATAAAGAGACAGGAACCTCAGGCTTTTCCTCCAGGAGCTCACAGTGTAGGGAAGGAGGCACACGGTGGAGATGAGAACCATTCAGTGTGTTTCCTGTGAGTCCATGGCAGGGAAACTTCCAGGACAGCCTGGGGAGGCTTACGAGATGAGCAGCCTGGTGTCTTCTCTGAAAGCAGCAGTGGCCCTGCACAGTCTGCTGGTTGAATTACCTGGAATGCGTTTTTCTCATTAAATTTCATAAGCACTTATCTCATCGATACAATTATCATCTGTATTTTACAAACATGAAACTAAGACTCAGATGAGGAAACTAAGCGTTAGCTTCGAGAACTATGCCGAGTATACCAGAGAGGTTGTAGCTAGTATAAATGCTGAAGCCAGGAGGGGGCTCTGAAACTGATCAAATCCTGGGCACCCAGGATTTCACAGACAACGAAACTAAGACCCCAAGTGGTCGCGACCACCTTGGGCTCAGGTCTGACAGCAGGAAGAGCAAGAATGCACTGCCAAGGCGAGTCCAGTCTCCTTTTCCTGCCACGACTACCACAGCTGTCTCAGAGGATACTTCTAGATTGTCAAGGTTTAATCGAATAAATGGCTTACTCGATCCACCCAAAACCTACTGTAGTCACCCAAAACATGTTCATCTTCTGGCCCCAGAGTGCCAGGCCCAACTCCTGACATGCCACAGTCACTAGAAGGAGGTGACCTGGAGGGAGGGGCTTACTGGCCTGCTAACTCCCACCTCAGGAGGTCCAAAGGAATTGCTGACATCGGACACTGCTGCCCCCAGCTTCTCTTGCCCGAAACATGGTCATTAATCCCCTGCACAGAGGAACCTGAAGTTCCTCTGTGGAGCTGGGGCCTTAGAGACGGAGGAGGAGTCTGCCGTTAAACGCAGCTGTGTTGTAGGCTGCTGACTCAGCAAGGAGAGTTGGTTAAAGAAAGAAATGGGTGACGCCAACGAGTGGAGGGCCAGCCTGGACCACCACGGGTGTCTGAGCTGGCGGCAAAGGGCCTGTTCGTCCTTGAGCCCCTGAGGAGTCAGACAGGATGTGTCAGTCATGTGTTACCATCTGGCTTCCTGGATCTCCTGGGCTATCACCATGACACATGACCTGGAAGAGGGTGCACTCTGGGGTGCTGGGCCAGGTGTATACTCAACATGTTCAAGCGGAGGGAACCCAACAGTTGCCCCAGCTCCAGGCAATTTCTCCTCCAAACCAAGTGTCTGTCTCCACTGATATTTTTCCCCTCCCCCACCCTTTGACTAAGAAGGTCTTTGGGCCCCAAACTCCAGAATGTGGTCCTGATTTCCTTCTGCCACTGGACACAGTGCCCTCCGGACAAAATTCAAAATCTCCTGATGAGGTGTAAGGGTCTCTGAAACACAGATCTATTACATATACTCCCACCTCCTCCTATACAGCTGTCCCTGCAGCTGGACTGGCCTCTCCATTCTCTCTGTAACCTGCTCTGGAGAGCCCTGCCCCAGTGCTTTTGCTCATGCTGACACCGTCAGTAGAATCCAAGGCAGCATAACAGCAGGTCTTGCATTTACTTGCAATGTGAGCTTTAGCAAATTATTTATTTAAAAGCCCCTCACATTCCTTCTTTGGAACATGGAGATATGCTCTACCTACTGGTCTGTTGTAAATATTGTAAATGAGCCTTTTCTCTGCACAGCGCTCAGGAGACAAGCAAGACAAGCAGTCAGCAGGCACTAGGTGCTGTTAACAAGAAAACCAAACCCATCCAAACCCTAGCTATTCTCCAAGGCTTTCCTCCTCAAATTCTGCCTCCTCCACGAAGCCCTCCCTGCCTCCATCCACAGTGACTTTTCTGCTCTGAGCTGTTACAGCATTCACCATCAGCATCACCCATTTTCAAAAGGATCCCATGGTGTCTTGTAATTACAGTAAAAAGAAGGTATTACTTTCTCCCTACCTTGACTGTTAACTCTTTAAGGCTCTTCGTTTTCAAACCCAGACACACAATCACTCTTCAGTATCGAATATATTCATGTTCAAACTAAATTAAATCTCTATCAGCCAAACCTTCTCCCTAGAAGACCTAACTATTACTTGAAACTGGAGATTCAAATAACACCTCCGCATCCGCGTCACTCACAAACTTCTAGAAAGGCCCCCCCCAAAGGTGAGCTGGCGAGGAAACCCCGATGTTTATCAATTTCCATCTGGGAATGTATCCTCTTATCTATAGCTTTGTTTATGGTTTTAAAAGCAATTCCATATTCATGCTAAAACAACCCTAGTGGCTCCATTTTTTAAAAACCGTCTTTAGAGCAGGATTTTCTCACAGGTTTTTGAAAGTCAAATTAAACCGGGTTCTGTGGTTCCCTCTTCTCCATATGCTTATTTATCTGCTCGAAGAACTCAAGGAGATTAGCGAGGCGTGATTTCTCCTTCCCGACACCATGCTGCCTTTCCTCTAATAAGCCATGTTGACTTAAGTGTTCAGCGATTCAGCTTTATTATACATTCATTCAGTAAACATTAAATGCTTACTCCATGCAAGCTTCTACCAAACGGTCCCTGGTGATACCGAAAATACCTCAGCATATTAGTTTGATACATTAAGTGAAAAGGAAGTTAAATAACGCATGGTTTCATTTTCCAGCAGAGCCCATCTCTGCTCACAGATACAGGCTTGACTTATGCGTGCCCCTGGACGGCCCAGTGGAGGGGGGCACCGTGTGGGAAGTTGGGTTTAGTTCTCAAATTTCACGTGAGCTGTAAGAGCAATTGATAGAGAATCCTGGCTGGAGCTGGTGGGTGATCCTCAGGGGATTTTTCTAACATATATCACTATTGAGGAAATAGTTGAATTCAAACATTGTTGAAGGAAATGTTTTTCAAGCTCCAGAACACTGGGCCCAGCAGGCCCTGGGTCAGACCCAGGATGCTGGTTGTTCTTTTTTTTTTTTAATTACATTATTTTTATTGTGGTCACATCGCTTTACAACACTGTATATGGCTTAGGGGTAGAGAGTCACGCCTCTTCTAATGGACATTCCCACCCACACCCACCACCAACAGGCCCAGGCCTACCCTTGCTCCCCACCCCCACCTCCCAGGGTGGCAGTTCTTCTATCAGACTTCCTCATTCACCCTTGGGGGCGCCAGTTCTGGTAATGTCTGCTCTATCTGACCCCTCTTCCGAGTAGACTCCTTGGGCCTCTATCTGTCGCCTCGGCCCTTCCTGAAGTTGCTTCTGGTGGTGTAACCACAGCTTACCGTTAAACCCAAATCAGTCTTCTTAGCCTTTACAGCACCTCAGTGATCGCAGCCCCTATGGCTGGTTATTTTTATTTAAATATTTTTATTTAGCTTCTCTTTGTTATCAGGCACTCCATGAAGCCACGGGGCGGCTCTCTTTTTCCTTTAATATCTGTGGAATTAATATCTGTCCGCGTGACTCAAGGGACATGGTCAAGGCCAGCTGCAGAAGTTCTCATGCCTGGCTGCTCAGCAAGGCCAGAGAGGGGGCAGCTGGAGGAAGAGTGATAGGGAACAGGGTTAGGCCCCAGTCGGGTTGGTCTAGTCAGAAGGGGGTGTTGCTGTCCTGCTGCTAGGGAGTTTTATGTGGGGTCCCCAGAACAGCAAGGAGAGTGGGTGAGGCTGCAGGGACACCCATGCCCAGGCCGGTGGCGGCACATAGAGGGAGTGGCCGTGGATTGGTGCAGGCTGCGGGGTAGAGTCCTGTGAAACCACCAAGTCCCTGGCACTGGTGAAGATGCTGAAGTTCTAAGGGAAATTAGTCACCAGAAGCCCCACCACCCCCGATCTGAAGCAGCGCCCCACTAGGGAGGAGGGCACTGGCTCATTACCATGCTCGCGGGGGAGGCAGCTTCCATTCTGAGCTCCAGGGAATGGGCCACCTGAGCAGGGGCTGCAGGGACCCACCTGCTGGCACCCAAGGCAGGAGGGGGCCTCAGCAGGTTTGCCATCAAAGGTCCCCTAAAAGGGGGGCAGGACCCACTGGACTAGAGGGGAGTGTTGGTGTCTTGGCGGTAGAGGTGGGCGGTAGCTTACACCTGCAGAGGTGGGAACACTTATCTCCAAATCACCCTCAGTGTTGACGACCAAC